CATGGCTGGTCCCAACCCTCACTTCCCCGTCACTCCTCGCCTGGCCTGAGAAGGTAAGGGTGATGGCGGGGGATGGAGACTCGCTCCATATTACAGAGCAGGAAGTGACTGGGTGGGAGTGAGTGACGTTGAGTTGGCCACACCTACCCAGTCACACCGGTTGTTAAATTACTGGCTCCCGGTGATTTCTTTTCTGTGGGAAATGGGTCCAAATGGCTCTTTGAGTGTTTAAGGTTGCAGGCCCCTGGGTTAGATAGTGTCATCGACGCAATGAACATGAATTTGGCCAGATTCCTGCAGAGAGCGGAGGACAGGGGGTTGGCGTGCTATGGTCCATGGGGTCATGAGGAGTTGGGCACAATTTGGCAACTGAGCCTAAATATTGTACTGAAAATATATATCTAAAAAATCTATTTTTCTGCTTGTTAGATTTACATCCCGCTTTTATTTTATACAATTCAAAGTTTACACAATGCTCTCTTCTCTTATTTTCCTCACAACAACCCTGTGAGGTAGGTTGGACTGAAAGAGACTGGCCCAGACTAGAACTCACAGTCTTCCAGTATCTAATTCAGTATCTTAATCATTATTTTGATTCTTCTGATTTCTGCCTCTAATCAAAAGGTAAGCATGTACAACTAAGCATGCATTATGCATAAATGTGTGTATATATGTAGGAATGAATGACATGAGTGAAAGAGCATAATAATATATTTTAACAAGCCTTCTGGGTCCTTCTGAGTCTTGTTTTACAATGCAGAAGAGACCTACATGGAGAAATACACCTGTCATTTTAGCCAAAGTAAAGTATGTTAAGAAACAGGTAAGGTTTTGCCTCTTTCCATTTTATTAACACTGAAAAAAATCAACAAGATGATCGTACAATAGCACAATTGTAACATGCCTACTGCTTGAAACAGAAAATCCACATGGTACCCTTTACTGGTAGTACCAGAAACATGGATTATCATAATTGACAGGATGTGTCCTTTCATAATATAATGCCCTGTGATCATTTCTATGAAAATCAATAAAATGAACCAAAAACAAAGTGGATGTATCTTTCTTTGTGGGTGAATTAAAAGTTATTTCAAAGCATCATTGCATTAGGATGTAGTTTCTTTGTTCATTATTTACTACCTTTAATGCAAAAGACCAGGGTCAGGAAGTAAGTCAACAAAAGGCTATGATTTCAGAGAGTTGAAACAGACTGCAATGTCTATGGCAGTGGTGGGATTCAATTTTTTTTACTACCGGTCCTGTGGGCATAGCTTGATGGGTGTAGTATGTAGCTTGGTGGCATGGCAGGGAAGGTTACTGTAAAATCCCATTCCTTCCTCGCCCCTCTAACCTGCTTTCCAGCTCCATTCTGCTGTGCAGGGCAGCAAAAGAAGACCCAGCTGATCAGCTGGAACTCGGGAGGCAGAGAATAGATGGGGGCAAGGCCAGTCAGAAATGGTATTTGCTGGTTCTCCGAACTACTCAAAATTTCCACTACTGGTTTTCTAGAACTGGTCAGAACCTGCTGAATACCACCTCTGGTCTATGGAGATTCTCCATCATCCAGGTCATGGTTGTCCTAAGGGTGCTTTTCAAAAGGCAACTGGACTTTCTTTGTTTTTTCCTTGAAAGGTTCTGATAGAACTGAAGAGGCTTCTTGGATGAGAAGTGAAATGTCTTCAAGGAAAAAACAAAGTCTCCTTGCCTCTTCCTATGGGCCAACAGATTGCAAAGCTTCCTTTCAGCTATGAGGGGATCCCTTCAATTTTGGCCAGCTGAAGAGTCTATATTTTTTTCATTGAATGCCTAGAACAAATAACATGCCACGATGTTTCCGCATTTCATGCGTTTTTGGGTAATAATAGCCATTGTCCTGGGATTTACAGGAAGGCAGATTCACCTGAAGGTTGGCTTTCTAACAGTAAGAACAATTTGCAAGTAGAAGCAATTACCACAGTGACGATGAACTGCCCTTCATGCCAGTGTTCAAGGGGAATCTGTACAACCATTTCTTGGGGGGGGGGGATATCCATTTAGATTCTTGCCCTGAACCTAAATATCCTTTCTGTTTCAATGATTCCATGACTTTTACCTCCTTTTTACATTGTCAATGAATGCTAAGAAATGAAGATGGTCAATTGTCCCTCAGTTTCTACTGGCTACCAGAAGAACTTATGGAATTGCTTTCCCATGAAAGGATGGAGAGCGGGCAATCAGTTCCATGTGTAGTTATCATTCAACTGCCTTTCCAAAGTATCACCAACAGGGCTTCTGAGAAGCCATCTCATCCAGGATAGAGATTGATTTCAAAATCAAAAATCAAAATAAGAAGAGAAAGTTTAAAAGAGAACATGGGCCACAAAAAGGCCAACCCAAATCAAGGAGAGATGCCAATAGAATGCAGTCAGACCAGAATACACCACTTTCCATCCATCTGGGTACTTGAACCATAGACCACCAAGGTTTTCCCTTCCCTTCCCCTCCCCCTTCCCTCGTCCTTCCCTTTTTTCCTTGTTCCCTTTCATACAGAGGCTGCCTGGTTATTAATTTGTTGGGTGAAAACTGGGAAACTTTATCTACATGAGAAGCTCATTGCTTTTTTGCAATCACCTTTTGAGTGATTGCAATCTCATCTTTGAGAAGTGTGACAAGGAACGTTCTGTGAAAAATATGAAGGGAGAGGACAAAAGTTAGATTTGATTTTATTTAAACTGGGATTGGTTTTATTTTGCTTACAATACTTGAGTATGGGTTTGATTAAGTATTTCCTATCATGTCTTTAACAAGTTACCTTAAATATTATAATATGGTAAGAGTTTTATTGTAGAGTTCTCTGGCAGCTGCATGCACGGGTAGTATACACTGTCTTTAAATAAATATACAATAGAGAAATACATTGGGGTTCTAAATTATATTGAACTATGATTTTTTTGGAAGCTATTCAATACTGTGGTTTAATTTCCTTACCTGTAATCATGGCAATGGTACATATAGGAAAATCAGAAAGACCAGGTCATGGATATATATTCATGGAGAAAAAACTAGGTTGTTGCTAAGATTTTACTCTGCGTTAATGGTGCATAATCATTCAAGATTATTCCTATGTTGGAGGGAATTGTATTTTGCAGGTTCATTTTGAAATCTGGTGGGTCTTTTTTTTTTAGATGTAGATCCTTGAAGCACAAAACTTCCATGCTCAAGGTCAAATAAAATGAATATAACAAACATCTAGGGTGTTCTTTAATGCCCCACGCTGTGCTGGAACACATTAAATTTTCATATATTCACATATAAGCTGGCATTTGCAATAGATTTTCCCCAACAATTACAGTTTCTATATTCACCGAAAACAGTCTGTGAAGTTCCATCTCAATGACAGTTGAGTGTCTATATTTTAAAAAGCATAAAGCTCTTTATATTTTTAGATTCCACTCCAGTGTTACACATTTCTTATTTTTCTTTCTCTAAAAATGATACTTTTAGCCCCATTATTTTTCTTTTTTTAAAAAATAGGGGCAATTCAACATTATTTAACAAAGTTTGAGGTTGCAGATCAAGTCACTCATATAAAACATTTTAATTAAGCTGCTGGTGAAAGAAAATGAAGAGTAAAGGGATGGGATGGAAAATAAAAGCAGAAATATTACTGTAAGGAAATGAATGATATATCTATATAGCAATAAAAAAAGTTTTCATGCATGGATGCAGAGCAAAGGATCTGTGAAAAGGATGCAACCCTGTCACACACCTTTGGCATGCTGTTGTTTTCAACATATGAGTAGATTCAGATCCATCAACCACATTTCCATGCCTTTTTCCATCCAAGCCAATTCCAGCTTTACATTTCTTGCCTTCCGTTGCCAGGCGTAGACTTTCTACAACTTTCATATTCTTTTCCAAAGAAGTAAACAAAGCAATTTCCTCAAACCATGAAACCTCATCACTCCTCAGTCCTATGACAATATTCTGTTACAAGGGTCTCCAAACTTGGCAATTTTAAGACTTGGGGACTTCAATTCCCAGAATTCCAGCTATTTTGAAGTCCAAAAGTCTTAAATCAAGTTTGGAGATCCCTTTTCTACTAGAATAGAATATCTTTTTTTTTGTCCTAAAGGAGGGCAAAGTTCTCAGTCCCTTTCTGAGTCCCATTTCTCTACTTATCCATAATAACTTAGAGTAGTATTAGAATTCCTTCCAGTCATGCTAATGAATTGTGTGCAAAATCTATTGCATTCTTTCTTTTCTTTCATTTTCTTTCTTTTCTTGTGACTTACAAGAACAGAATAGAACAGAATACTTTATTGGCCAAGTATGATTGGACACACAAGAAATTTGTCTCTGGTGCATAAGCTCTCCCTGTACATACAAACCACAGAATAATTTAATCATAAGATACCAATAGGAGAAGGTAATAGGAAAGATGAAAAATTATCAATCATCCAGATCATGGTTGTCCCAAGGGTGCTTTTTAAAGAGGCAATTGGACTTTCTTTGGTTTTCTCTGAAGACATTTCGCTTCTCATTCAAAAAGCTTCTTCAGTTCTAACTGAAACTTCTTGGATGAGAAGCAAAATATCTTCAAGGAAAAACAGGAAGTCCAGTTACCTCTTGAGAAAGCACTCTTGAGACAACCATGACCTGGATGACTGAGAATCTCCACAGGCATGTCCCAATATTTTCACACAAGACTTTGGCCCCAAAATATTCCATGTCCTATTGCCTATCATACAACAAAATATTCCTTTTGTCTCTGGCTCTGTGGCAGTCTAAAAGTAGGAGAAAGTTCAGTTATTAAAATTTTTATATGTATTTACCAGGGGTAGGATTCAAAAAGTTTTACCACTGGTTCGGTGGGCGTGGCTTGGTGGGCACGCTTTGTAAACATGCACACATTTGTGTGCGTACATACACCAAATGCACACTTTGCACAGGCGCAGAGGCATTTGCACAGGTGCAGAGGCATTCCAACTCACCTCCTGCAAGCCTGCACTCTCCTGGTCATTTCAGCAGCTGCCACACGGCACTCTGCTATGCTGTGCAAAGCAGCTGCGCTTCAAAAGCAGAGGATAAAGGTGAGTATGGGAGCCCAGGCGGGCAGGTGGGCCCAAAAGCAGAGTAGCAGAGAAAACCAGTTTGGTCTCCACTGCTCATCGCTGCTACCGGATCGGTAGAACTGGGCCGAACCGATAAAATACCACCACTAGTACTGTATTTACCCTTCTTGAAACTTTCAAATGGGTGTTTCTTTTTAAATTCCCACCAGAACGTAGCTTTGAACTGGACCCCTCTTTCTGTGTTGATTTTTTTAAAGATTCTCCAATCATGTTGCCCTCTATACAAAACATTTAAAAAATACTTATCAAATGGAAAATATATACTTTCAGTGCTGTTGACATTACAAATGTAGAACAAAATCTAAATTCCAAAACTGATTGAAACAAATTGCATATTGTAAATGTCACTGTAATTTGGAAGATAGTAGAAATTTGTATTAATGCTGCTGCATGTTGAATCATCTTGCTATCATTCAATACAATTCAACAAGAGTTTTATTATCAATTTCTTCAGAGATCACAATGCATAGTCCATTCAAGGAACTGTGTTTCTGCAGAACAGAAATCATGCCTTCTAACAGATTGAATATAATGTCTATTACTCATGTAGAGAATGGCTGTAGCAACACTTAACCCATCGTGGCCCTGCTTTTCAGTGCTTTTTGAAAAACCTAGGTACTTTATAATTTTCTCTTACCACAAAATTAACCTAACATCCACTTTAGAAGCAGAACATAATTCTAGGTTTTCCTAACTTTGATTCATTGCAACATGACCGTTTTCTAACCAAAAACTTTTGACAAGAAGAGATAATAATAATTAATAAAAGTACTGTATAGATATTTATTAGAATACAAATTTGAGGAAGAATATGTAAAAGAAACAATGGTGGCATGGGCAAAAAAAATTGGTTATAATATTGAATTGACTAAATGGCAAAAACTTTGGACCATCAACAGGAAAATAACATTGGCCGTACAAGGAAAACCTTTATAAGATATTTTACAGGTAGCATCTTCCACCAGCAAGACTTTCCAAAATGTTCAAAAGTCTATCTCCAAAGTGTTGGAAGTGCAAAGATGTATCAGGCACATTTTTTCACATGTGGTGGACATGCAATGCTGCAAAAAAGTTTTTAGAGACTGATCCAGATATGGGTGGAACAAATGGTGAGAGAGTGTATTCCATTTAAGCGGATTTTTTTTCTTCTAGGAATAATACCAGAAGGATATAGGAAAGATTTAATTTATCTAATTAATGCATGTGTTGACAGTGGCTAGAATAATATATGTGCAATACCGGAAGAAGGAAAGAATACCATCAGAAATAGATAAGGAAAATTATGGCCTGTGCAGAATTGGACAGGTTAACTCTAGAATTAAAAAAATAAGGAGAAATCTGAGTACTATAAAACGTGGAATAAATTTTATCAGTGGTTGCATAGAAGAAAGCAAGGTCGAAACATAAGTCGGTGTGTGATGATTAGAATAATTAGTAAACAATGTATCAAACAAGAGGATTGTAAATGGTGAAGTAAAATTTATATATGTGTAACAATTGTAATGCCAGAACGGTTGCACCATGTTGTATTCTTATAATTAAAATAAAATAAAACATTTTGTTTAAAAAAGACAAATGGTCTTGAGATATTCTAAAAACTTATCTGTTCTATGAAAGGGTCATGGGATATGGGTGAGATCTTATTCCCTCCTATCCTTCATTGGATTCCTATGCTGTGAGCATCACCTGTCTCTGTAGCAGATGTATATGTTTGTATCCTGTCTTTATTATTTTCACAAATTCACAAATTTCATAATTCAAAGTGGGGAACATATATAACACACTTTCCACTTCCTATTTTCCTCACAACAACAACCTTGTGAAGTGGGTTGGTCTGAGAGAGGGTGACTGGCCCAGAGTCTATCAGGCTTTCATGGCTTAGCTGAGACTTGAACTCACGTTCACATTTTCTAGCCTAGTGCCTTAACCACTAGACCAAAGTGGCTTATGGAGTTGTCAAGAAATCCAGAACTCAGATATTTTCATGCAGTGGGAAGAAAATACTGTCAAATACCCTTCTCACATTTTTAAAACTTCCCAATGAACCAGATTATGTTTTAACAGAACAAGTATTTTATTTTTGAGAGGACAAAAGAGATTAATTTTATTTTCTTCATTCTGTTTCTCTCGCCCGCTTTATTTTTTATTGTTGCTGTTGTTATTTCTATTGTTTTTAAAGCATGATATGCCTTTCAACAATCATGTATTTCTCATGTCAGATGAGGGGAAATTCATGTTCAGGGTATAATTGATGGGGCATAAATCCTGATCTATTAAACACATACCTTTTCTCAGTTTTGGAAGCCTGACAGAAAGGTTGGAAAATTGTCTAAAATCTAGAAGAAAGATTGAAGCAAAATATTTTGAGAGATTTCAAGGAAGATAATGGATAATTGATTGTTATCATTTGCATGGCAGTTCAGAAGATGCTAAAGTTGGTTTGAATTTTGCATACAGTAAAATTTGGAGTACATTTGAAAGTTTGGCTGAAACATCTGAGGAAGTATGCAAGACAAAGATTGATCAAGTTAGTGAAATTTCTACAAAACTAAATGAAAAATACTTCTACATTCTTTTCAAGAACTGCACAATCCCATCAAGCTCCACAGAAATAAACCAGAGAAATACCCTTTTTTTCCTGATATCATGAATGGCCTATTATACTATTGTGTAGGTCACAAATGTAAGATTAAGGAATGCTGATATGACAGACAGTTGATTATTCAATTATCTTTGAGTCCCATTAAAGTTGCTACAACTTCTCTTATACTAAAAAGCTGAAGAGGTTGTAATCCAGCTAAAATGGTATGACAATATTATTAGTAATTGAATTTCTCCAAAAGGGGTTATTATCCTTTGGACTGATACTCTCTTATAATCCATTTCACTCCAAGTTCTTTTCTCTCTTTCATGTTCTTTGAAGTCAATTCTCTTTATTATTTTTTTTCAAAGTAAGCTTTA